AATGAAATGAATAAACAAACAGATGAAGCGAGAGATGGCAGCGCCCCCACTACACCCCCGCCTGACAACAAACATCTCCCTGCTACCGTACACACACACACACACACTCTTACCAACACAGTCTAGAGTATATTGACAGAATCTGATGCACATCACTGTCCAGTTTTTATAATGTGATCGCAGGTTATTTTCATTTATGTGCTATACGTGCAGTCGGTTTAACATTCAACACGTTCATGGAATTAATTAGTTATGGGGAAAAAATAATGTGTTAAAATAATTAACGCACTCGCCCCCCGTGTAGTTCATCTTACACTTCGTACAGTTGATTGGTGGCGAACATGAAGCAGAGCAACAGCTCACTGTGTGTGTGAACCTATATTAACACCGTTCCAACGACCCTAAAATTCGAGATATAAGGGCAAAAATGCCCCTGTATGAATTTTTGTCACATATTTGTATCATATATGATCAAGCAATGTAGCACGACTGCCGTTTATGTTCCTAGTGAAAATGTGATGTGGATTTTATACAACGGTTCAATAAATAAATGGTTAATATTGTGCTTTATTTATACTGTCTGTTTTTGTTCGATTTTGCCAAAGAAAATTGTACCTATAAAGCTCTGTTTGTTTGACCGATTCAATCGGGCAAACCAATAATTCAGTCACTCGTTCAAAAAGAGAGCCATTTCCATCATTCCTGAATGAATCAGCCATTTAAACGGATCGAATCAATGAACGATTCAATGACTTGTTCATAAAGAGATCCATTTACATCATTCCTGAATGAATCGGCCATTTAAGCGAATTGGATGAATGATTGATTCAATGACTCGTTCATAAAGAAAACCATTTACATCTTTCCTGAATGAATCAGCCATTTAAACGAATTGGATGAATGAATGATTCAATGATTCATTCATAAAGAGAGCCATTTACATCATTTCTGAATGAATCAGCCGTTTAAACTAATCGGATCAATGAACAATTCAATGACTAGTTCATAAAGAGAACCATTTGCATTATTCCTAAATGAATCCGCTGTTTAAACGAATTGATGAATGAATGATTAATTGACTTATTAATAAAGAGAGCCATTTACATCATTCCTGAATGAAATAGCTGTTTAAGCAAATCGAATCAATTAATGATTCAATGACTCGTTCATAAAGAGAGCCATTTGCATCATTCCTGAAATGAATCAGCCGTTTAAACAAATTGATGAATTAATGATTCAATGACTCGTTCATAAAGAGAGCCATTTACATAATTCCTGAATGAATCAGCCGTTTAAACAAATCGAATCAACGAACAATTCAATGAGTCGTTCATAAAGAGAACCAGTTACATAATTCCTGAATGAATCAGACGTTTAAACGAATCAAATCAATGAATGATTCAATGACTTTAGACATTTACCGCCACCTACTGGCAACTTTAGTCTCTTATTTAGAGTAGCCTATTGCTTCTTTAAAAAAATAATTTCATATATTCTTTCCGTATTAATAAAACATTTACAGTATGGTCATCATTTATTCCACCTCATGGTCGTTGAAGCCTGAAAGTTTGTGTAATAAATTCTATGTTGAATCAACTAAAATGTTTTTTCTTTTTTCTACTTACTGTAATCTCTCTTTGATGCTTTTCGCATTTAACACTAAAGGCATCAACACAAACGTAGACCGCTTTCATCAGGTCGGCTGCCTTCTTTAGGCCAAAATCAGGCCACATGTGTCCGTCACAGATAAGCCAATCCCAGAATGCACTGCAAAATACTGCTCTGTGGAAGAAATACATAAGATTGTTGACAGAGTCGAGGGAAATTGTAGTTATATTTCATTCAGTGCTGAAAAGTCAAATAAAATAGTTTATCCATACTGTGAAATTCAAATGCAACTTCAAGAGTGTGTGAAGTTTTCAAAAGTGTAGTTTTCCATGTGTGTAAGGATGCAGTATATAGCAGATGCTGAATAACAACACTTCTGTTTTAATGACAGGGACTCTGAAATAACTGAAATAACCGTTCGTTTCGCTAGATAAGACCCTTATTCATCGTCTGGTGTCGTTTAAAGCCCTTTGAAGCTGCACTGAAACCCTCATTTGGACCTTAAAGCGTTTGGACCCCATTGAAGTCCATTATATGGAGAAAAATCCTGGAATGTTTTCATCAGACTGGCCGCAGTCAGACTGGGGTTTGTGGTTTTGGGGAAGCGTCAGTGGTGTTTGGACAGAGCTTAGGTAACTTGGCTGAGCGAGTGAATCTTGGGTTGTAAACACAGCTAATTAAACAGGGTTATTTAACATTTTGCGTCTTACTTTGTCCTCTTCTGTCTCAATCGAGTCCCAACACGCGCCTCAATTAACCTGAACGTCTAAATGCCACGGGATCGTCTTCATCCTCGCTGCTGTTTCCTGTGGATTCAGCACTCGAAGGCAAACAAAGACCAGCGCTGACGAGAAAGACGTGTTGGAGTGTGTGTGTGTGTGTGTGTGTGAGATCTGTTTGGAAAGGACATGGAGTTGAATCACTCATCTCTCTCGATGCCAACGGCTCCCCGGGAGATGTGCGACGGCCAGCCTGGCAGAAACGTGTCTAATGTGAGATAAGGTGGCACTCAAACCGAGAATAACTCAGCGCTCGCTCTTTGCTCTTCACATCAAGGCAGGAGGGGAAGATGGCGGTCACAAAGAGAAGAAAGAAAGACTGAAACACAAGCCGCTTGAGAGGGAGGGAGAGAGAGAGAGAGAGAGAGAGAGAGAGGGAGTTGCTCACACAATGTGAGAAAGAAAGAAAGAAAGAAAGAAAGAAAGAAAGAAAGAAAGAAGAAGAGAAAGAAAGAAAAAGAAAGAAAGAAAGAAAGAAAGAAAGAAAGAAAGAAAGAAAGAAAGAAAGAAAGAAAGAAAAAAGAAAGAAAGAAAGAAAGAAAGAAAGAAAGAAAGAAAGAAAGAAAGAAAAACAGATAAACAAAAAGATGTGTATTTTACTATTTATTATAATCTTTATATACACATTAAAACATATATATAAAATAAATGGTATAAGATATACTGTATATAAATGAATTAAGTAAAACAAATTATATTTGATACACTATATATAAATAAATATAATAAATGTTATATGATATACTATATATAAATAAATATAATGCATTATATAGGATATACTGTATACAAATAAATAAATATTATATACAAACATTAAACAATTAATTATATTGTATACTGTAAAAAATATTGTTGGTTTAACTTAAAAAATGAAGTAACGTGGTTGCCTTAAAATTTTAAGTTCATTGAAATGGAAAAAACTGAGTTAATACAATGAAGGAGATTGATTTAATCATCAGAAACTCAAAATATTATGTTATCTGAACTACATGATTTGACAAAAGAAAAAATGTTGTGATTACAAATCATGAAAATATATTTTTTACAGTGCAATTAATACATTTATTCTATATCTAATTCTTTCTCTATTTCTTTTTTTCCTCGTGTTATATATTTTATATATTTCAGCGATGGTGCTTTATCGGTGAGACAGTTTCCACGATTAATTAAAATTAATGAAATTTTGATAATACAGCATGTTAAAAAGATAAAAAATAATGATATAGGCTACACACACACACACACACACACATACATACATATAACTGAATTGCACTCAGCCGACTTTGAGAGAGGCAAACTTTCCTTCAGATCGATTGTATTTTGATTAGATCTCAATCATCTAGAGAGTTCATTTACACACAATCTAGATCATAAACACGGCAAAACATCTGCTGAACGCGTAACTCCGACAGGGAATGTTTCAGCTTCACACTACAGACGAGCAACGGCTGTAACAATGACATCGGCCAGATGTAAATGTGCTCGATTAATACATGTGGAACAGACAGAGAGAGAGACATTTATAGATTACAGAGAGAGAGAGAGAGAGAGAGAGAGAGAGAGAGAGAGAGAGAGAGAGAGAGAGACATTTATAGATTAGAGAGAGAGAGAGAGATTTATAGATTATAGAGAGAGAGAGGGACATTTATAGATTATAGAAAAGAGAGAGAGACATTTACAGATTAGAGAGAGAGAGAGAGAGACTTTCTGTCACAATGTTAACGGATTGATTCTGGTTAAGTGATGTAAATGAGTGTCTCTTCAGACTGTCTGAGTTTTAAGCACAACACAAAGACGTCAAGAGCAGAGCGGGAAAATCAACTTCGCAATCCTCGCGAAACATGCGGACTAACGCATCAAGATCCCGGCTCAATCCAGTCTCATCGTTACAAAGAGGTTTATTTTACAGCCAAATTCAGATGCAGCGTCTTCATTAAAACTAGTCCTGTTCAAAACTGACCAATTAAGCTGCCCATCTAAACTCAATTTTTACATATAATCATTTCACCAATAGCTAAATGCACAACTGTGCCTATATTCGATTATAAGCGATTTCGGATGAAGCCCATGTATATATGCTATGGAAAAGGCAATCCCAGAATGCATTGCAACATGAACAGTGAAAACCAATCATATTAGAATGATACAAGCCATTAGTGAGCAGAAAACAAAACAAATATGCAAATTAACAAATGAAATTGCATGTGTAAAAATAAAAATAGGTTGAGTTGGTCATGTGACTCAAGAGCTCCACTATGATTGGCTGGGCTCTACAAAAAAAGTGCTTGTTGTCAAATTAAAGCAGTTTCATAGACCAGGTAAACTTACCCAATAATTGTGTGGGTTGCTTATTAGAGCAGCATATCATTAGCTTAGCAACATGCCAACTTCAAACTGTGTGTAATCAATGGTGAGCGCTAGGCAAGGAGAGAGAGAGAGAGCGAGAGAGCTAACGAGCTGCTGCCTATAAACAACCCTTCAAATCACTCACTCATGAGCTGTCGTATAGTTAGGATACCACCTATGTAGGCTGCTCACTACAATCACTCTAGTGCACTGAAATGGCCTCCATGTAAAAATGCCCATGACATCACTATATTCACTTACCAGAAATTTTAGACGTTTTCTTCACTCTCAACCCATCGGAAATTGGAGGATGAGCACATGATGACACTAAACCAAGATGATGGACAAAATCATATTAGAAGAATCATACAGGCAGAATGAGAGACTAAAAAACATTTAATGAGAGAATATATGCAAATTAAATTCAATATTATAGATAGTCATGTGACTTAGAGCTTCAGACTGATTGGCTGAGCTCTAAAAAAATGTTTACTGTCACATTAAATGCTGTTATTTTACATGATAGACCCTAAAATGCTGCCAGAAGCTAGTCAATATGAAATGGATGTTATGACACTATAATATACCTCAAAAACACACACACACACACACACTTAAATATATTGTGAGACAATAAGTTAAGCTCCATAATAATTTACATGCCCATGTTCTACACACAAATCTTGCTAGAAGACTTGTTTTTTTCCCAGAGGTAAATTGTGTGCAATCTGTAAAATCGCCTCGAGTTACTCGGACGTATTGAACACAGTCACACACACACACACACACACACGGAAACATTGAACGAGCACCGAAACCGCTCACGAGAAGAAGAAAAACCAGCCAGAGCGGCAAGTGTTGTCAGTGGCCATTGTTTTGAGTGATGGCTGGAGAAATGAAGTGTGTGTGTGTGTGTGTGTGTGTCCTCATGAACACATCACCGCTGATGCTTATTAGTGTTCACAGACTGCAGATGTTTCTTCAGAGTAAACAAACCAGTCACCAACTTCTTAAAAACACTAATGGACATGAACTGCAGATGTTTAACTCACACACACACAGGCCAGATATATATATATATATAAACAATTGTGACGTAGAAGACTGCACCTGACACACAATACTACACAAAGACATCATACATTAAAAATTGAGGGTAAATCTCATAAAAATTGGCAAAAATTCTCAGGGTCATATTTCATGCCAAAAAAAGAAAAGAAAATATATATTATAACATTTTTCCACACCCCTCTCAAACTGTGAGGTAATAAAAAAAAAAAAATATCTCATTTATATTTGATAAGCACGTTTGTAGTACACATTAGACATTAGTGTGGCATTTGCTTCACTAAATTTAACTAAATTTTAAGTTTAGTTTAAATAAATAATAATGATATAAATAAAAAAACTAATTTTGGCCAGAGAGCATGATTCACTTATTATAAAACAAATATTTGTCTATATATATATATATATATATATATATATATTAATAGTTGAAAAAGGCTTCATTTTTATGCATATATATGGTTTTCTTCTGATTTTGGAGTGAAATATGGCCTAATTTTTTTTTTTTGTAGTATTTCAGTTACAGCAAACCGGCTTTGAAAGCATAAGATGGCAAAGTGTCTCCAAAGCCATGTCTCCTTTAAAAACACATGAACACACACAGCAGAGACAGTGTTAAACTACCTCATGTCTCAAAGCACATAAGATTACAGTAATAATGAACACGATCACCTTAAAGAGCTCTGGCCTGTATCACCTGAGACGGACTCTCATGCATTTGAGTAGGAGTAGTTCACTTAAAAAAACTTTTGCTGATAATTTACTCACCCCCATGTCATCCAAGATGTCGACTGAAGAAAGAAAGACATGGATATCTTGGATGACATGGGGGTGAGTAAATTATCAGCAAAAGTTTTTTAAAGTGAACTACTCCTTTAATGTTTAGACCACTTCTATTATTGCTAATTTGCTATCAGGGTGTGAAGAGAGGTTCAAACAGTACAACAAAAAAGTGTTTATGAAAAACATTGCGTACTCTGCCTTTAAGCTTCTACGAGAAGACGATCTCCAATAGTCCCACAGCTTTTAACAAAATGACTTTCTCCATCCTCGCTGGTCCTTGATCTTCTATAGCACATCACGATCAAGCGCTTCACCCGGACACACACTGAGAGGAGAAACACAACGCTCCACAGAGAATTAGAGGAGCTGAGATGAGTGTGACCGGTCACTGTGAGACCGCTGAACGGCCGAAGACAAAACACTGATCCCTGACCAGCCTAGAGCTGAAGAAATGACAGTCCAGACAGATTCCCACTGAATACAGGCCTTTGTCCAAGTCAAAACCTGCATTATCCACCTTTACTCTGGAAAAAGTACAAAAAAATTATTAACAAATCCTTTTTGAGGATCTTATGATTCACCAGTCAAACTCTTTGAAAGATCAAGTCTGGAAAACCACGACCAAAAAAATTATAAATAAAGGTAAAATAAGTTAACAACTACATAAATATTCAAGATCAATGCTTAAAGTCTGGAAAAACCGTGAAAAATAAACATAAATCAATAAATAACGTAAAATTAAATTAAATAATAAATAATATTCTAAACAGAATTGATTTGTTTTTTTAAGGATATTATGATTCAAAAGTTAACCTCTCTGAAAGATCAATGGTTAAAGTCTGAAAAAAATAAAATAAAAATCAACAAAATAAAAGAAAATATTCCGAACTTGTAAGAATGTATTATTCACAAATCAAACCCTTTGAAAGATTAATGCTGGAAAACCACAAAATATATAAATAAGCAAAAAGATACAATTAATAAACATAAATATTAATGTAAAATAAATAAATATTCTAAAGAATTTATTAGTTTTTGAGGATTGTTTAACTTTATTATGCTTAAAGTCTGGAAAACCACAATAAAAAATATTAGAATTTAATAAATAGTGTAATATAAATTAAAATAAATGACAAAATAAATAAATAATCTGAAAAATATATGTTTTTTGAGGATCTTGTGATTCACAGATCATCAATCTTATTCGCCAATCAATAGAAAAGGTCTAAAAGAACACAACAAATAAATAACTTTTCTGATTAACTTTTTTAAGGATCTTAAGATCCACCAAACAAACTTTGAAAAACGATTGCTTAAAATCAACATGAAACCGCATTCACAATCCAAAACAGTGAAACAAAGCAAAGAATGGGACTTGATTTTCATAAGCCGAGGAAGCGTACAAGGTGAATATTGAATTCATGTTGACTACATCTTGAAGACAGGCAGCACTTCAGCCATGATTGAAGACAGTCAAAGACAACCGGATGTTTAGAAACACAGTGTGTGTGTGTGTGTGTGTGAATTAAAACTCTATTGGCGTAGAAAATGAGATTCCGCCATTGCTATTCACCTGATGTGTGGTGCTCTGCGGCGAGGTCTGCGCTCTTTGTTTCATTACTGTGAGGTCAGAGGAAAACAGAGGTTTTAAGTTGTTGTTGACATTAATTAAGCCTCGTTACGGCAGGCCACCGCATTCCCAGCGGCAGCGAGACTAACACACAGGTCCTGAACACAAGCACGTTAGGCTGTCCATCACTCCCGAGACGCTGGAACCGGTTCTGTTTTAGATGAAAAATGAATAGCACAATCAGGCCGACCTAATTGGGGGAATCTCACCAGAACATGGCCAGTCCGAAGGGAAGAACAATGCAGTTTTATTCTGCATTAAGAAAATGGAGTCTATTGTTTTGCACTATGACTATTTTCAAGACAAACAACCCTTCATGAGTAGAAAACCATAGGAATTAATGGGCCTAAATTCATATCTACCCATGAACACTTCGGTGAATCAACAAAACAAACAAAAAAAGATCCTAATCTCTCCATAAAACTATTGGAAGGAAACAGTCTTAGTTAAAAACTCTATAAATCCATCCTAAGATCATAGAAAAGTCCAGGCCAGATCCGTTTCCCGATCCCACTATATTGGCCCTCTTAATATTCCTCATGAATATCAGCTCTGATCACATTCTGCCCTTTAATTTCATGGTGAGCGACCCACAATTCAGCGTGTGAACTCTTTCATCAGCATGATGCATGCCTGGGTTCATCAGCACTGCTTTATTCATTGCATTAGTCATCTATTGTTCGTGCAATTCAAAAAAAACTTCTTCAATGAATACAGAAAAGGCATTTATGAAATATTCATACCATTTCCCAATGCATATATATATAGTTTGAAGGATGTTCAATATCCAGGCACTATGGCTAGAACAAAAAAATAAGAAAAAAAATGTTTCTTTTGCAAATAAGAAATAGGCCTTTAAAAAAAAATCACATGCAACTTAATTTGGCTAAAAAGGAAGACATCTTAAGTTCACTAAACCAATGCAAAGTAGTTCCGAGGTATATAACCCATAAAACAAGTGATATAACAAAATGAAGGTATGAATATGATAATTATTAAGCAACATCTGATAGGTTAACTACCACCAAATTCACAAAATTTCAACCATGTTTTCACAGACACTACTATATCGATAAAATAAACATGAATATGGCAATCATTCAGTATAGTTAATGTTAAAGTACCATGGTCCATTTTATCAAAATAAAAAAGTAATAGAATGGAAACATCTTATTTTAACCATTGCAAATCCGTGTTTTTTGGAGACTATAAATATAATATCACCACTACGACATCACTGCCTTCGTCATCGTTGACACATAGTACTTTTTATAAGGTTGAAAAGCCGGAGAATAATATTTCTGGACATAACCAAAAAGCTTATATCATGGCTATAAATACAGAAACCATTCAGTAGGATAGATCATCATTTAACACTAGTGAAACAGAACAGCCACAAGACTATGGTTAAAAAGCCACAGAATGGAAACACCGTGTTTTAACTATGATAATAAGCTACCATATTATAGATTAGTCCAATATAGTGGTATTGTTTGAAATACCTTAAAGGACCGTAGTAGTAGCCAATATGATAGACAGTTTCCTACCAAGCAATCACCACCTAACACCAATGATGGCAATAGCACGAGATTCGTTGAAGTTATCCCTTAAAGTGCCATTGTATGGTAAGCTAATTATCCAGTACCATGATATCACCATCAAATACCATGGTACCACCTGTCAATAACACAGTGCAGTTGTGTGGTCTGGTCTGTGTGAAATGAACTGCTCTGCGCATCTCCATCATTGTTCCGTTTGCGCGCGTTTCGGCTTCAAATTACACCCGTTACGAACCTCAAACCCGTGAATCTTCGAGTACAGAACCGGATCGATCCCACAAATCTTACCGTTACTGGAGATGTGGTTCTCCACGTCGTCGCTTCCAGCTTGCCTGAGACTGGCACTAAGTTGGATATAGAGTCCCATACAATGTAAACTCCTCAGGATCACTCCAAACGCGCCCATCACTGCTCCCTGTGAAACACTCTCTCACATCAGGTGAAAATAGACGGCTTTAAGAGATAGATCCAGGTGTGTTGAGTGTTTACTGGTGGATTTTGTCCCGGATGGCAGCGGTAGGAGAGGATGAGAGGAGGCTGTGTGTGTTTGCAGTCGCCCACTGATGCGATTTGATTCTCCACGAAGAGAAACTCCCCGGATCTAACCAACGCGGCGGAGGGATGTAGCACCAGGAGCGGGAGTGCGGCGGCTGTCATTGGGCAATTTCAATCAGGCGGAATAATATTATGAAGAGAATTATAACTGCGAAGCGTCGCGCAAACGGTCAAAGATCAACGGTCATCGCGGGTGGCGGTAAAATTCCGTTTGAAAGTGTTTCTGAGGTAAATTTTACTTATTTTTTTAAATGTAGAGGGTTTATTTTAGTCATGAACAAATATGATATTGATAGGCCCAAATAGTTGGCAGCAAAATTAGATTAATGAGCACTTTTTCAGTATCTTGAACTGAATCTTGCCTACTTTTTTATAAACATATTGTGTTTAACAATATGGAATATGAAAGGATAAACATCTCAAACAATTAATATTATGTTATTAATATTAATGACTGGCTGATTAACTTAAGTGATCCGTCTGATAAAAGGGATAGTTCACCTAAAAATGAAAATGTACTATGAAAATTAACTAACTTTATGTTGTTCCAAGCCTGTATGACTGACTTTAGTTCCTCACAAAAGAAGACAATCTCTATCAATGTTTTTTTTGCAGAGGAAAGAAATACAGATTTGAAACGAAATGAGAACGAGTAAATGATTTTTATGTGAACTATTTAAATTCTGCAATTGTGCATATATATATTTTACAATCATCAAATTGGTATAAATAGAGTCAAAAAAAATTATTCAGAAACCATGTTTCACTTTTGATATTGTTTTGCTAGTGGGTGCAGGACAGTTCATTTATGTAAGCAAGGTGTCTGACTAAATGTAGTTTGACTGCATGTTAAATGTAACAAATTGAGTTATCATATTACTAATTGAATGAGTAGGAGTAATTGAAAATGAAAAAACATGAACTCTACTCTAGGCCTTTAACCAGGCTGAACATGGTAGGTGAAGTAAAGTGCATTGTGGAACACAATAATCACAGCGTGCTTTGGATACCAATCAGAAAAGGCATAAACAATTGCATAATATAATGTATTGAACACAGTAAAAGTACTATTACGCTATTCTGAACATAGTCAATGATGTAAAGGCTGTTTAAGCTCGATAATTAATAAAAATATAATACTTACAGAATATTTGGTTGCATAGATACCAAACCTCAAGTAAAAATGCACAGAAAAACAAAATGGATTCATGACATTTAGGGCCCTTTCACACCTACCTTGTTTGGTCCGGACTTTCGGACTTTTCAGTTTGGTCCGAATCAAAATTACAGGTGTGAAACCTCCCCCGGTCCGGACCAAACAGATGAAATTTGGTCAGTAAATAAAAGGTAATCTCGGTCCGGAACAAACCGAACAAACGTTTGGTTCGTTCTAGTGTGAAAGCCTTTCTGTATGGTTCGGACTTTCAAACCTTTTACAGGAAGTTCTGATGGTTCCCAAAAAGCCAAAAAACAGAAGGTGACAGGAGAAATGTGCCGTGTAGCACATGGGAGAGACGGTATGGTCTGTTGACATAATAAGAAGTCAACTTAGAGTCTTCTCCTCCTTTCCTGCCGGTGACGATAAAAAGTTTGCACGATGAGGACGTTCACTTGGCGAATTTGAACTAGCCCTGTGTCTAGTTGGTGCTGTAGGTAATTATGCCATAAAAATAACCATATAGTTGCAACAATATGCGTCTGTTCATTCATGTTGTCAGTTACCCAACGAATTGACAACACGCTGACGTCAGACGCACGTCCATTTACAAACCAATCAATATCAAGATGCAGCCAACATAGATGATGAGGACAGGACGCAACTCACGCAAGTATATTACATAAAGTTCTTTAGTGCGCTCGCATAATTGCAG